AAATAAAGATTCACACAGACTCATTAAAGCATGAAAGGTGAGTGAAGCTGTAATGTTTCCTTTAATAAAAATGAATTATTTATGGTTGTCAGCAAGATATAAATATAATCATTGAGACTTGTGTGTTGAACTGGGATGCTAGAAGTCAGTCAGAGTTAGGTGAGCTGAGAGAAAACCTTTATAAAGATCTCAAACTAAGTATTGTGCATTTATTTGAATGGCGAGGATAATTTGGCTGTTTTTATTTTGTTTTTAAAAGTAGCATAAAGGGAATTATATCAAAATTTCATTCAACAACCCTGCATTGTAAAGGACAATAACATAAACCTTGAATCTTTGGATAATTTATAGCTTAAAGTTATTAACATTTTATGCAAGTTTTATAACATTTTACTGGATAAACTTCAAAAACAAGGCAAAACTTCAAAAACAGCGTACACATGTAAATCCAAGCTCCTCCTTCCAGCACCTATGATGTCGAACTAAAGAAGCAGAAACTGTGTTTTACTGAAATCATCTTTATTTGACAAATCATGTGAAATACTGTCATTACTTAACATTATTTTGATATATATATATAACATAAGATATATGAGTGACGGTGGTGGAACTGAGAAGCACATACAGTAGATGTATTCCTGAAATGACACCATTGCTCTCCATGCATGTCAAAAACAGATTAAACACATTCCCCCTTCAACCCAACGATGGAGGGAGCTCTGATTGTAGTGAGGAGGAGAAGATATTGGCAACACCTGAATAAAATAATACACTGATGTCAAGGCGTCTCCCACGCTGGAAATAAGCGAAGGCCGTGAAGCTCTCCGGCTGTTTGATTGAAACACAAAAGGGTCGACCACGCAGCTACATGGATACTGTCAAACTGAATATTTTAGAGCTAAAGCCAACATTTACTCACTCACAGTGCTTTTCCCAAAAAAAAAAGGCATATTCTACACCTGAATTACACTCAACCCCCTCCTTTTTTTTTATAAAACCGTCCCAAATCCACATCCACGGATCTACTGGACCTGTACAGGGAACATTTCTCCTCCTTTAAAGAGAAACATGCACAACGTTGAGGAGCGTAGAAAACACACCGGTGGGAGGTTGGTTGCAGGGTCCAATGAGGGTCGGGAGGTTGGGGGGGGGAATGATAAGGGTGCAAGAGGTGACAGAAAGAGTTTGGCTTCCACTTCTTCTCCATTTGCTCTCTCTCTCTATCTCTCTCTCTGCTGGATTGTTCTTCACATCCTACATGAGATCTCCAACCAGGGGAAACCTTCATCACGGCCAGACTCTCCCCCCTGAAACACAGAGGACAGCTGCTCTTTACAGGTTATCACTGAGGGATGAAAGGAAGCTTCTTCAGGTGCAATAGTGGGATTATTTCCCACACATATCACAGAGCTATTCCCAAAAAACTAAAGCCATCATATTCATGCATAAGGACCTTCCTCAGCAATATCCTGCCTGTAGGTTTCCTCTCAATAATATACACAAACCATCCCATTTATTATGTGTAATCAACCTCACCATTGTCCGCGATGGAAACCAGGGATGCAGGAGAGGAAGAACACACATCCTGTGTTCGCCTGTGTCTCCTCGTCACCTTCTTCACCGCCATCATCATCATCATCACCATCGTCGTCGTCGTCACAGCAAGTAGATGATGTAGGAAAGGAAGACGAGGCCCACGATGGCGAAAAACATCAACATCAAAATGTCCACCATGATGGAAGCGCTGTGGAGAGGTGGACGGGTGCAGACGCGAGGAGGACACGCAGCAAGAACAGCAGCAGCAGCTCCACCGCCGCTGCGACGGGATCGGCTGAGATCGGCCGAGATCGGAAGCGTTCGGAGGACGTCGGAAGAGTGGGGGGTGGGGGGACCGATGGTACAGGAAAAGAAATGGTTCATTTTAACTTTGTGTTTGGGCTTTCGGGTAGATTTATGAACTGTAATCATAAAACATTAAAGCAAAACTTGAGAACAAAAATGATTTAAAATATTGAGGAAAATACGCAACCCGGAAAACACAAGTGTGAGCTGACAGAATAAACTCCGGGAAAAATGTTGAATTCCTCCTTTGACAGCTTATTGATCAAATATAACTTTATATTTTAATATAACACAGCACACGTTGTGTCCAGGAACTTTTTACTTAATGATATTGTAGCTAATACTGAAAATATACAGGTATATTTAATCTCATTTACCATTTATGAGGTACATTTAGCTTCCACTACAATCTCCAAATAATAATAATTGTATTTATATATTTATTTATATTTATATAGGACTTTTAAAAACAGAGACTGTGAGGCCGAACAAAGAACAGAAACATCCTGGTAGAGGGAAGACAATAATAATAAAAGAAAAGGACAGTGAAATATATACAAATATATAAATACAAATAAAAACAAAGTTAACAGACATAACATAAAAGCAAGTCTATAAAAAGTGTTTTTAAGAACTGATTTAAAAGAGGTCACTGATTATCCAACCTCAGAGGGATCCGTTCATGTGAGAGCTTTAAGAAGCTGCAAATAAAACTCACCTGTTTTGTAATCACTCATCCTGTAATACATGTTTGTCTTCTTTTGTAGTTTGTTTTTCTGTTGTGACATTTCATTTAAGCCAGAGAGGAGGGAGTTACAGTAACCTAATCTGGATTAAAGATCCATGAATAACTTTTTCCAGTCAATAAACACTCATCTTAAACAGTTCCAACAATAACTCTTAGCTGTGCCACGACCAGTCTTCAATCAAACCAGCTAGAAAGAAAACGTTCCCCTGGTGTCTGGTTGTCTCACAGAATACAGAGACTAACTTACAGATGTGTCTGAAACAAGGGTTAATACTCAGCAACTGCTCTGACACCCCAAAAGCCCCAGGTTCACTGTTAGTTTTTAGTAATTTAATCAATTGCAAATTAGTCAGAGAAGTTTTACCACTAAATAAATACATTAGTTGAGAAATGTCTTGTAATAGGTCATATTATGTATTTTGTCCTCGTCTTTGTACAGGGCCTCTTTTATTTCAGTCTATATTGTGCTCACATGCTGCATATTCCTTAATAAATTTGTCTTCAATTAACAAAAACTGATTGAAAGACTAGTAGTGAATAGTCTGGTAGCATAGTGTTATTACAGCACAAGTGTATTTGTTTAATGGATGGAGAGTATAAACTGCAGCTGAAGAGTAAAGGGTACTTTTAGAGAGGGAGAAAGGGGCTTTACTGTACATTTTTTCCCTGAGATCCCCTAAAAAGTTTCCCCCCAGATGCCCCCATGTCTGAAAAAACACCATCAAGTGTCTCTAGGATGCCCTTCCAGTGGAGAAACCTGGTAAAGTGCCCTCTAGGGTGGTAATCCTAACCCTGACTAAGCTCTTTCACCATAAATGAATCAGCAACTTTAAAGCCCTGGCTCTTTTTTATTGCCCTTGAACAGTCTGGGTCCCGCCGCTGGATCCGGTCCACGCGGGACCTGCTGCACAACATAAGACGCAGCACAAAACAAACAGTCTGAGAAAAAATGACATTTTATTGAATCTGCAGAATCATAAGTACAATTTGAAGTGCTGAAGTAACAGGGCAACAGGAGATGATATCAGGTCCTTAATTCTGAGTATGTATTCAGAATGAGCTTTGAATACACGTGTATGTCAATATGCATATGGTATCTTTATTTTTTTTTTATTTAAAAAA